TAAATTTCCTCTTTGGAAGGTGGTGGCACAGAGTTCCCCACGTCGTACGGATACGATAGTAAAACACGACGTACGGATAGGGCTAACTGCCTAACTGATTCATTGTGCACGTGCCTGTCTGTGTGATTGACATATTAATTGACTGTGTGAAATGTTAATTGATTGCTTGGTTAATTGATTGACTGGTTCACTGATAGGTTGATTGATCGATCTATCGGTTGATTGATTGATTAATTATATAACTGATTGATTGATTGATTGGTTGATTGATGGAGGACGTGTACGTATGTGTACGTGTGTGTGTATGTGTGTGTGTGTGTGTGTGTGTGTGTGTGTGTGTGTGTGTGTGTGTGTGTCTGTGTGTCTGTGTATTCTCTTCTCTTCTCTTCTCTTCTCTTCTATCCTCTTCTCTTCAGTTCGTCGGTAGCCTAGTGGTTAGGCCACCGAACTCGTAATCATGGGATTGCGGGTTTGGGGGTTCGAGTCTCAGCTAGGTCCAACGTTGTGTCCTTGGGAAAGGCTCTTTACACGGATTCCCCACTTGGCTCGATCCTTTCGGAGACGGACGTTAAACTAGGAGGCCCCGTCCCTTATATAACCTAATAGTGTTGACAAGGGCGTTAAACCCATACCATTTCACCATTTTTATTTTCACCTCTTCTCTTCTCTTCCTCTTCAAATCTCTTCTCTCCTCTTATGTTCTCTCCTCTCCTCTTCTCTCCTCTTCTTTCTATGCTGTTCTCTTCTCTTCTCTTCTCTTATCTTCTCATCTCTTCTCCACTACATTACTTTACATTACAAAGAATGTTAAAAAATGGTATCTGCAAATCTTGCTGTTGTGCATCAACAATAATTTTGAAAAACAACAACAACCCAACAACAACAAGAACACAAACAGACAAACAAAGAAACAAAAAACAACATAAAAACAAAAGAAACCCCTCAAAAAACAAAACAGTCCTGTACTTGATGTGTTCACTATTCTGGTTTTAACAAAGTGATCAATCGTCTTTGCATGGAGCACGTACGGTTTACCAGGAGGAAAACGACGACCGTCTCAGACTGAAAATCGTGATGGTACCAATTCTGAACACTTGTTGACTCATAATTGTATTTCTGTTCAACTGTAGGTTGATTACTGTTGTTAGATTTCCCATTCAACAACACTAATAATAAACAACCAGTCGAACAAATATAAGGTTATGAGTCAACAAACTTTTAAAGTTGGCACCCTCACAGTTTCCAGTTCGTGACTGTCGTCATTTCCCCCCTGTGCTCTTTATTGTCTTCTTGCGGACTCCATTCCGTGCGTTTACAAGGTGTTCAAAGAGTTCGTGAGATACACGGGGTGCTGGCTTTGTTGTCCGCGCTGCTCGCCGCAGGAAATTCCACAATAAAGTGTTCAAACTAAAGTTCATAACTAATAGCAGACTACTTGTTCAATGTCATCTATTTAATTGTTTTTTGCCACAGTTCAAACTAAAGTTCATATCTGGACTAATAGCAGACTACCATTCAATGACATCTATTTAATTGTTTTCGAGCAACAACCTGTAAGCTAGAGCATTAGTCCTGTGGGGGAGGGGCATTACCGTTTGGATCAGTCCAAAGTGTTCACTTGCTGATTTCCCTCAGGCGTTCTTCATCGTCAATATTTTGTTTAATTTTGCGATCTAGGTTTATGATGAGTGACTTTCCTCAAATGATTACCAGACAAAGACTGAAAAAGATATCAACTGAATTTCTGTTGTAGAGCACTAAATTTGCCATTGCATTGGTGTGTAGCTATCAAAAATGTATTAATGAGCAATTAAAATCGCATTTTCAAGACAATTTTAGTCCAGAGTATAATATATATGTATGTATATATATTATGTATAATATATCATATGCATGTTTTTTCATGATGTATATTCCTTTTTAATGATGATGATGATGGTGATAAAAATAATAATAATAATAATAATAATAATAATAATAATAATAATAATAATAATAATAATAATAATAATAATAGTAATAATAATGATACTACTACTACTACTACTACTACTACTACTACTACTACTACTACTACTACTACTACTACTACTACTACTACTACTACTACTACTACTACTACTACTACTACTACTACTACTAACAATAAAACAATAACAGCAATAACAACAATAACAATAATACTAATTCTTAAACAATAAAAAAAAAACAACCTTCCCATTCTTCCATGTCGTTCCAGGGCGGCTGGTGGTACCGTAGCTGTTTCTCCAGTCAGCTGAATGGCATCTATCACACCGCCTGGTACAGACAGAACAGCTACGCCGACGGGATCGCCTGGTACACTCTCAAAGACGACGAGTTCTACTCGCTGAAGAAGGTGGAGATGAAGATCAAACCAGCCAGCCCTTAGACAGATCGGGAGGGCTTCTGTAACGAGCGACCACTATGAGACAAAGTTAGAATAGAGGGGTAGGGGTAGGGTTTAGGGTTTAGGGTTTAGGGTTTAGGGTTTAGGTTTCGGATTTCGGGTTTCGAGTTTCGGGTTAGGGTTAGGGATAGGGTAAAGGCGGCTACACAATATGTACGTTCCAAACTGCCTGTTCGGAAGGGAAAGGCAAACTTGGCGGCTGAGACGCATAATATGGAGATAAAAAACTGCTAGTACCGGTACAAAGTTAAGTCGGGAGACCGAACGGGCAGTTTCAACATATTTAGTTTTTCTTACTACAGTTCAGCACGTTCCATCGACGACAGCTTTTGATTGACGTCACAGGCTTAGCCGGCTTATCTTGTCACTGCCAATATCTTCAAAATGGTTTACCGCACATAAAATCTGATTGCATTTTTTAAACGAGCGACCCAATTTTAAGGCAAGGTCAGAGCAGAATTTGAGTAATTTCAATAATTAAAGAGATTTCACAAATTCCCACAGAAAAATGCATTCACTGAAGGGGTTCAGTACACTCCGCCATTTTTAAATTTGACTTGACCTACGGTTAAACCGCACGTGATGTGGATGACACGCCGACCCGTCGAACAGCGGTTTTCCACGGCGGTTTCAACCCCAGTTCCAACCCCGGTTAAAACCGCCAGGTCTTTAGGGTTTGGGTTAGGGTGAGGCTTCTTCTTTATCGTATCTGTTGGGGTTGTCGCTCGTAACGAAGTCCTTCCGACAGATAATTGTCTTGCTGAAAGAGTGGGATACAAGAAGAGAATAGCATACCCCCCTACCCCCACCAACCTCAACCCTCCCCCATCCCGTAAAGAAAATTACAAACTTAGTGAGCAGTGTCTGAGGGTCATGTGGGGTCACAGTGGGGTTGTAGTGTGTCTCATAGGAGCAGCATCGGCGTCTGTGGTGTGGCGCTTGGCCATCGCAAGCAGGAGACCCGAGTTCGATTCCTCAGTGGGAAGAGATTAAACATTTTTTAAAATCCAGTATCTCGGTCTTTCTGCTGAGATGTTGTATCCCTCTCAGCCCGCGAGTTGGCCCTGACAGGTAGGGTCGAAGTAGGCCTCTTAAAAATTATCAGCATTGTGTTGATGAGGTAGTACTCATAGAGACAGATCCTAATGAAGACAGATCCTAATGAAGACAGCAGACATTTTGAATATACTTTTTTGTTCACAGTCGAGCTTTTAAACTATTTTCTTCCTTCGTACTAAAGCTGTAACCTCAAAAGATGATAAAAGTAAACTTCAGGCCCCTTTGGGAACTTTCTTGACCTACTAGTACACATATCTAGAGGTCTCCGTTTTCGTCTCACCACATTTAGGAAGTCGCGACATAACGCGCAAAGACGTTCTTAGCATTTATGAACAAGGATCAAAGTTTACTTTTACTTTACCTTAAAGATCTGACTTTGACTTAAGCGTCAACACGATAGAGGGGTTATAATATTTTCCAAAACCTCATTTTGATAAGTATCAAAACTATTGAGTTCGTCAGATCTCCATTTCTGTCCATGATTTAAGATTCAATCCTGTGGAGGTACTACTCTATTTGAATCGGACAGAAATCTTGTATTCTGATTAAGTATTACTGCTGTTAATGAGTTGGGCTGATAGCTAGAAAAGGTCGACATATTCGATAATTTTTGTGTCACGTCTCACTATACGAGTCAATGAAATTTTCGAATTGTTTTGTTTATTGCAAGGGAACAAGCCGAAGTAGAACTAACGAAGTTTCTAAACATTGCAGATTTATTCAGCATGGTTTTTGCATGAACATGGACCATTTTTTTATGTCTGCATTTTACATGTGCTTTTTATTTGTCTTTAAAATATTTTTCTTTGGCACACACAATTTTGTTGCTTCAGTCGTACATGTTTAATATAAAAAAGTTGTTATTTTCGTTTCATGTACAGATGATATGCTGCTGCTCTTTAAAGGTAAAATGCTCAAATAAGTCATTAAGATGAAAACGACACACAGACAATCAGCAAAAACCAACCAACTAGCCAGTAAGTCGGCAGAATAAGGAACCAGCTGATTAAATAACTGAGTGGTGTAGTGGTTAGGCGCTCCGCTGCCACACTCAGGGAAATAAGTTTGAATTCCGAGTCGTGAGAATAATATTTCCCTTGAGTGTCTCGGTCTTTCTGCTGGGATGTTGTATTCTCCTCACACATAGGTTGACCCTGACTGGCAGGGTGGAAGTCTTAAATGATCTAAACTTTGTCAATGGGGAAGTAATACACCTACATTACAAAAAAGAATTACGGACAAAGAAACAGTTCAACCAAAAAAAAAAAAAAAAAAAAAAACAATTCTCAAAAGAGACGAATGTCAAAACAATCAATAAACAGCTTGTTCAAAATACGGATATCACCGAATCCTGTTATCATTTGAGATGAAGTTTATGAATTTTCTACCATATTCGGAATAAGCGATTTCAAGGTGGAAACACAGAAAACAATGGGAAGACTTCTGCGTGACTAAAATGCTTATTGGTTTGTCTAGGTGTATTTATTTTTTGGTTGGGACCTCACATAGGTTGGCAATGGTCAGGTTCTCAGATAAGCTTGTTCGCATTGTCAAATATAGCTAAAATCCACCATCCTCTTCTTTCTCCTCTCCATCTTACCCCTTTCTTACCCCCTGTCTTCTTCCTTCTCCTCCCCCTCATTCTGTTCCTTCTCTTCCTCTTCCTTCTCTTTCTCCTACTCTTTATTCTCCTCCTCCTCCTCTTCCTCTTCCTCCTCCTTCTCCTCCCCTTCGTCCCCCTCGTCGTCCTCCTCTTTATTCTCCTCCTTCTCGCCCTTTCCTTTGTTGTTCCAATTATGCAGGGGTTGTTCATCATTTGACAAACTCCTCCTCCTTCTCTTTCTCCTCTTTATTCTCATTTTCATCACTGAATTCAAGAGAACTCTCACATTAATGTTGCTGCACGTTTCGAAAAATAATACACAAATCAGGAACCCGAGTTTGAGTATCTCATGATATGAATGTTGTTGCCATCATTTTAAAGTTTCAGATAAATAGAATAAAACTGAAAAAATCTGGATAATAATGAGGTAATACTCATTTTTTTTCAGTGCCCAAAAATACTGCGTCTCCAAGTGTTGTCAATTGATCAGAATTGGCGCACTTACATAGTAAAGGACCACAGTCCGAAAAGTATCTCTGACGCATTCACATACTTATAATGTACTTCAATTTTTGATACCATGTTATGGATAATTGGTAGCATACTTCTTGCTTATAGTTTTGTTGTTGTTGTTGTTGGTAAGTAGTGTTTTACGGCGCTCGCAACTGCATAAGGTCGTATGAGCGCGCGCTTATAGTTTTTGTAATTACATTTATATATATATATATATATATATATATATATATATATATATATATATATATGTATATATATATATATTTATTTATTTATTATATACCCTTGACACTATTCCTTGTCGTCTGGTTTGAAAAGCTGGAAATTAAAACCCTTCTTTTGACATTGCTTCTTTCCTTGTGTTGTTCTCCAATAAAATAAAAATACGATTCACCTACGCTGTGCATGGACTATCCTTCTTGACTTGTCGCTATCATCTGCCTCTATGTTGTACCAACGGTTGGATTTTAAAAATAAATCAGAGGGGGCGGGGGAGGGAGATAATATGAAATGGCAGCACTTATAGTGTTACTAGAAGCTTCGAAATGACAGTCAAATGTTGTGACACTAGGAATCGTTTTTATTGGAAGGAAACTTTAAGATGGATGTATCAAGACTTTTTAGTTTCGGATAAAGTCAGAGCGTACACAGTGTATGGTGGATTTTTTTCTCCCCGAAATTGTGGCGTCTGCACACTCGATGTATTATCATTGAACTCGTTTTTTTTCTTTTTCATTTTTTTTCTTAAATCAAGCATTTGAGGAATAAAGGTGAGGCTCTTCCCGGTCGTAAGCAGAGGACAGGAGTTCGATTACAATGACAGGGAAGTTGATTTTTATTATTTTTAAGGAATCGAGTATCTCTATCAGCCTTCTGGGAGGTTTTCTTTTTCTCTTTCAGCCGAAGTTGGCTCTGGAAGCCAGCATCGAAGCAGCCCACCTCCTAAATGATATGAAGTGCGTCGATGGGACTGAAAAGTCATTTCTGATTAACAGTAAAAAAAAAAAAATATAATATATATTATGTATACATATATATAATAATATATATATATATTATATATATATATATATATATATATATATATATATATATATATATATATATATACATTTATATATGATACTATACACTCGCATTCGGGGGGGGGTTTTATTTATTTAGGGTTTTCGGAAGGGAGGGGGAAAAGACATGGGCCCCGGGGATGGCGGCAGCGGGGGGTTAACATCTGAGGAAAAACCCAAACAAACAACAAAACATTTACATACAAAGCAAAGTCCGGAAATTGGGGGTTACATATTCATTTTATCCGCCAAAAGGGTTTACATCCTTATCAAAAGGGGCCCCTCCACCCCCCCCCCCCACCCCCCCCCCCCACCCCAAACATAACCGAAAAGTTAAGCCCAGAAAAAAGACATGAAATAATCCCACGCAGACACAGCGCACATCCCTCGTTTTCTTTTGTCTGTTGAGCAGGGTCTGTCGTCTGTGGTGTAACAGTTAGATGATTCTCCGTCTTGTTTTGTTTTGTTTTTGGTAAGTGTATTACGGCCCTTGCAGCTCCATCAGGTCAAATGAGAGCGCAGAACACACCAAACATTTTCAATTGGTAAGAAATTTTGAATTCTACCCGGGTGGCGGCCGAAGCCTACTCTTATCGATTTTAGACTACCAAGGGATCTTTAACGTGCGCAACTAGCACACGGGGCCTCCGAGATTTTTCACCCTTGTCTGAGAAGGCTGGGGGGTAAATCTTTCCTACCCGAAGATCAGGGGTGTGGCTGAAAGACAGGTGTAAAAAGGAGCCAAAGAGTAGTAGTTGAAAGGGTGCAAAAAGAGCCCAGTGGAGGGGACAAAGAGGGTGAGGGGTGGGGGAAGAAAATGGAGACGAAAG